ATTTGGTCCCCTTTTGCCTATGAATTATGGTACAGTCTTTATTTACATGATCACCTACTATTTTTTCAACAGGACTCCGACCTTATTCGGTGCACAGAATGGACCTGATTGAGGGATGAATCAAGGAGGCTGTTTTCTATAGGTCCATTGCATGCCTGACTTTGCAACTGTAATAATATTCTTTTAATGTAGGTGGTGTTTGTTTAATTTCCTCCTTGAAGGCTTGTGTAATTTCCTAGCTTTTTAAAAGAGCAAATTGAAAAAACAGGAATTCCATCATTTGGCATCAGATTAACACCCACATAGGTCATCAGCTGGGTTGGAACCTACAGAATCACTACACAGCCCGCTGCCACGTGAGCTAATGGAGTAACGGAGAGCAGTAGCAGGTTGTCACGCTGTATGTGAACTAGCACAGGAAGGGGGTGGGACATTTTGCCTGTGGGTTTCTCAGATATTTGCTGACACAGAGGCATGATATGACTCAGGAAACTTGGGTTCCATTCCAGGATCTTAAGGGGAGTGTATTCTAGGGTACAGACTCTTCCACCCCACGCTTGACTCCTTCCTGCCCCGCCCCCCATCCCTTCCAGCCTGTCCCTGTCCCAGTCCTGTATCTTCCCTACCCCTGGCTGTTTGTTCCAGTCTCATTCACATAGCCAGTCCTACACTTCATAGGTCTTCCGCTTGCCCCCTCGGCATTCAAATCAGACTGCTTTCTCCTCCTCACTGCCTGGGCCCAGCAGAGGGCTCATTCAGAGCACACGAAAGATGGTATCCCTGCTCTCAGTTCAGGTGGCCAAACCTGACATAACCCGCAACAGCCCAGAGCTGCAGTTGCAGGGAAAGTTCTATTCAGCACTAGGCTGGAGCATGCTCAGTGCAGATGGAATCTCTAGGATATTTAGCGGATAAAATCTAAATCTCTACTGAGCAGGTGCAAACTGTAATTTTTCAAAGGTTAAAATTTGAGGGGATTTTCACAGGGATGACAAAAGGCACATCACTGACACAAAGGTCAAATTTCAAGTCCCTGCTCCAAAACACAGGGATGCTAGAGCCTTCCAGATATTAGGTCACCAACATTTTTTGACATAGGCAAAACAACCTATTTTGCCCTGGCATCATTCTTGGCAAGAGATGAACTATTTTGCCTGAAATTCCTCCCAACCACCACCACCAAAAAAAAAAAAATCAACCTGAGGCAGAAACCCAGCATGGAAAATTTCAGCCCAAATGGTAAACATTTGGCAAAGTGGTAAGTAACTGAAAATAGGATCTTGTAATGGGGTAGTGATGAGCAACCTTAATAACAAGCTATCCTACCAGCCCAGCCTATAATAATCAGAAATGTTCAGCTCACTGGGTTACTCAATTAGCTGAACATCCTGAAACACAGCGGAAGGAATATTATTGCACGCAGTGTCCAATGGGCTGTTCCATTGGGGGTGGGGAGAGATGATGCATTTATATTTATATTACAAAAATATATATATTGAAAACATTAGGATACTTTTCCATGAAATGTCCTTATTTGGCCCCCGATTACTTGAGTGCCTCTCAGTCTTTATCCTCACAACATTCCTTTGAAATTGGGAAGTAGTGTAACCACCCCTTCCCACCCAATTATAGATGGGGAAATAGAGAGAGAAACTAAGTGACTTGCCCGAGGTCCACAGGAAGTATGTGACAACCTGAGTCTGCCAAATTTCAGTTTAACACCTTAACCACTGGAACATCCTTCATATATTTATTTTGCTTAGCTTACCATTGATGATCCCCGCCTGCTGTTCCCATTCTCCCACATGGGGCCCGATACAGGTCTCAGTGAAATCAGTGCCAAATATCCGCTGACTTAAACAGGAGTGGAACTGAGCCCTTAATTCTTCAGGGAGGCTGGAGATGGCAAACAGGACTGGGAGCCACAAAACCAGGTTTCTGTTCCTGGATCTGCTGATAAGTCGTTGTGTAATCTTAGAGAGGTCACATAACTTCTCAGTGTCTCAATTTTCTTCAGTACAATGGGTATAATGATACGTTGGACTTTCGTAAAGTGCTTAGAGATCTCTGGATGGGAAATCATTTAGATGTGGTAAGTATTATTATTAATGGTTTGTATTGTTTCCATCTAATTGTGATTGTAGCCTCCTTGAGGCTGGGCCCTTGCCTTCTGTGTTTGTAATGATGGGCAAATAATTAGATGTATACATAATAATATAATAATAGTGTTGTGAGCTCACTTGGGGCTTCACCCTGTGATATGTTTTATTCTGCCCCTACAACAACATTTTAATGTAAAAAGCAAAGTGATCAGGGCATTTATCACTGGTATATAGGGCAGGATACTCTATGTACAACAGCAAAGGGACATTACTTATGGCAGCAGCTGAAAACCCTATGTTGTATATTGGAGGACTTGTGGTACCAGTTCCAAGAATATTTGCTTCCCACCACTTTGTAGCAACATTTACAAGACTCCCTGGAAGTTCAGGCAATAACA